ATCAAGTATTGAATTAGCCTATCGATCGAATAGATTAATTACAAAAGCTAGACTACCGTTAATCGTTTCCTTCTAACAGAAGGATCCTTCTGCTCTACCGGGTACAATCAAGTGTACCGTCGATATTTAGCAAGTATCGCCATTATCTGGCGATAGCTATCTCCCAGGGAAAGTTTCTTCATTAGATATAGCAACTTGGACACTTTAGGAATTAATGTTTCCTTTAACCATAATCGTGATTTTAATGAGCTCAAAACGACCGCACCAAAACAATACCCCACGGTCTTCTTTCAGGGTTCCGCTGCCGTTGCTTTAATAACAGCCTTGGTAGCATTACACATTCTCCAATAGCGTCCCGGGCCTTCCCGCGACAATAATGCTTTAGGTACAGGAACTTCTGCTTTGATCGGCGAATCGACACTCGACGAAATTATCAAATTCTCTAATAAATCTCCAGTAGTTGCTGGGGTTCCCGTCGAATGGCGTTAGCTCCACCTTGGGCAGGTCTATCGACATGTGGCGGTACATTATTTCGAGCGGCGGTTGATCCACTTCCCTCGTCAGTCTGATAGGCAGGGTTTGTTTTTCCGTCGCGGTGTGCTTAGTCGAGCAAGGTTGCCTAGCCTCTGATTCCCTAAGCTTCATTCACCTAATCTCCTGCTCTAACTCTACAATCTTACGGAGATATATATCAGACATCTTAACATGGGCATCACAATCTAGGGCACATGAACTTCTAGCACTAACGGGACTAACTGAATTATAAATTTGAGAATCAGAGAATTCCTCAAATTCCCCAGTGACTTGCCGGTTACTTCCTGTCCTTCCTTCTCGATCCTTCCTTGTTCGAACGACATTCTCTTATAACACGTTGCACGAATTTTGAGTACTGTAACTCCCAAATAGATCAACGAGCAACACGTAGGCGAAGTGGGATCCCAAAACGTCAATTAAACAAACCATCCAGCAAGTTTCTACGGTGCTGCATTAATAAACGATCAAATAAGTAAATAACATATGTGCAAACCTCAAAGTGATCTCGAAACAATTTGAAAACAAGAGCCACGTGTTACTGTGAGTGTAATTCAATAAATCTGAAAGGAACGAAATAAGTCTGGATAAAAATAGCGCGCACCGTCACGCTGCACTCGACTGAGTCAAATGTGAGCGATCAGGTTGCGATTAAAACAAATAGGGTACGAATGAAACAGTAAAACAAACAAAGTCATATGGTAGGATTGATGTGTAAATAAACAAGAGAGGTGGAACGTCAAGTGTCTATGTATGCATGAGGTGGATGGTGTTATGTGAATGGCGCGTGAAATTTTTGAAATGTGGAAACAAGGTGGAATGGCCGTGATTAACAGGAAGGATTTTCACAGATCGATGAATACACCGCCCGGAAAAATCCTTCCTCGCGTCACACGATCAAAGGGAAATTCAAGGGAGCACCAATTCTCAACGTAACTAACTAAGCCTCACCGTCGTTGTGCCATTCTATCGAGTCTATGGTTGTCCTATCCGTCTCCGCCAGTTCAGGTAGGTAGCCGCAAGCCGTTTTCCATGTCTCAAAGTGCCTCCATCGCTAACCCGGAGGATTCCTCAGCTGCTTGGGTTCCCGGTCAATTCCGCTTCTTCTCCCTCCAGGTAGCAGATTTGGCGGATATCTCGCAGGGCTTCGCTGGCTGCCGTTTTCACTTTAACCGTAAGAGACCGTCCTCATCCGGGAGGCATTCTTTGATGACCGCCAGGGGCCATCCACCTCGCCGCAATCGTTCATCCACTATGCACTATGCCACCAACTAGAAATTTTCTTTCGCTGAGTATCCATTCCGACAGTTTCTCAACGGCAGTTTTCTTTTCTTGCCTCTTTTTCTTCTCCAAGTTTCCTAATAGATTCATTCAAGCTGGTCGTGATCATCAATTCACGTATCAGAAGCACTTTCACCCTACACCGTGATTCGGTCTCAAAAGATTCAAGTCTTTTGGCGTTAGTGCGAGACCCGAGGTTTCACTCGCGACTGGTGTCAAAGGCCTATTTTTCAATATGCACTTTACTTCGGTCAGGGCCGTGCTCAGAGTCTCATCGTCGATGGGTTGTTGATTGCACACCGCCAATAGTATCCTTCTCATCGACTTTATCATACGTTCCCAAAACCCGCCCCCATGTCGGGCGTACGGCGGGCTGAAATACCAACGGATATTTTGGAAGGTCAGTTGCTTATGTAGTTCGCTATGGTCGACACGGGACAGTAACCTTTGCAGCTCATTAGACGCGCTCACGACATTTGAACCGTTGTCGGAGTATATATTGTTTTACACTCCGCGCCTGCTGATCAGCTTTTGAAACGCCTGGTCGGTGGTGGCCATTATGCCTTCCGTTACCTCTAGTGTACCTACTCCCTACTTAGTATTCTTGTTCACCTGCACATATG